AATCGCCTTTCCTAATAATGTGCTAATTAGCAAGTTTCACGATGAATGCAGCTACAGTAAACAGTCTCTCTGAGAGCGGCTCGGAAGAGAGGGGCGGGGTCAGCAGAGCTCATTAACATTTAAAGGAAAATGCTACAAAAACGGCTTGATCTGAAAAGAGCCGTTTTTGACAGGGTAAAAAAGGTGTTTTTTACACTACCATTGAGAAATTTTAACCAAACTATGTTACAGACTTTTCATTAAGACCCTAAAGAATCATATCAACCTGTGGAAAATGGGCATCCTATGACCCCTTTAAATAATACAATCATATCTATATAATCCAGTGTGTTCAATAGCTAGGTGTGGGGGCAATAACATGCAAACAAAAAACTGCATCCAAATATCAGTTTTCTCCAAATAAGAAAAAATACATATGCAAATTGTATGAGTTTCTTTAAAAACACAGTTTACATAAAATCTTTTATGTATTTATAATTTGAAAGCAAACAGCCCTGTTTAGGACAGGGACATCATATCTTTCAGAAAATATAATTTGCATCTTAATATTGCAATGAAAACGTATTTAACAGTAATATATGTTCATGACAGGGTGGACGTATCATGGTTTATGCTTCGAATAATGGCCCATAATTATCTAAAAAAAAAATGTGTGGGAGCTCAGCTAATATGTCTCTATAGTACTCGAGTGTCTACTATTTATGACATGACAAGCGAATGGGAAATTAAGACCAAAATTTGCGAGTATTGTGAGGGTTGAAAGGCACTCTATGGTGATATTGACCCAAATGGTGTAGAATGAGTTACATGCCAATGTTATACATACCGTTGATGAGCATGGCTTAGCAAGTATCGCTAATTAAAAAGCAAAGTTAAAAAGTAAAGTTAAAAACATTCAAAAAAAGATAAATGTTCAGCACATGTATCTGTTTAAAACTCAACAGATATTACATGCTGTTAATATCATCAAATAAAAGCTAAAAGAAAGAACAGGAAGGCATGCGGAATAATCATTGTACTCCAGAATATCAAAGGCATTCTTAAGGATTTTTTCTCCTATTTTATAAGGAAAAAAGAACAGTGATTGATTTCTCATCAGACCAAATGAAATGTCACTCTGATATCCAAACACATAAAAAAAAAAACGTTAACAGTAGTACACAGTGCCAAGGATAAATACTAAACCTGAAACAGATTATATTAAAAACTATTCATGTTTATTCATAAGTTAATAAGTCAACATACGTTCTATTATTTATACATACATACACATTTAAAACACAGGTTGGAGTGGTAGTGTGACATTAACACAGCCCTGAGTAACATGGCCATATCAACTTCTGAAGACCTCTTTGGTCACTTGCATTGCCAGTTCATTTCAGACATGTTTTAGATCAGTTTCTCTTAAGTGTAACTTTTTATTAAAGGTCTGCCATGTAAGGATGATAAAAATATAAAATACATTGAGTGCTACAGACTGCCTCATTTTCCATTCACAATTCTAAAACTATTAAGAACAATAATGACAATACAACTACTGCAAAACGATTTCTTTCAAGTTATTACAAAGTGTATAAATTAACAAAAGACACTGCTCGACATATTGGCTTTGGTGGCATAATCTTCCCTTTGACCTTAGATATACAAGCACTTCCCTTTTAGAAGCCCAAGAAAATATCTTCTGGACTGATCTCAGAGACATCTCTGGCCCAACACAATGTATTCTCAGAACTGACTAAACACAAGAATCTTCCACATAACATTTGTGTCTTTTGTCAGTGAAAATGGGACAGGCTGAATCATTTCCTTCACTGCTACTCCTTAAAGCTCACACTTCTAAAAAATGTAAAGTAAACGGGTTGATTTCAATCATATATGCATGGTTATGAATATCTATGGAAGCCCATTTCTGCCACTGAATAAAAAAATAAAAATGTAATTGCGACTTTTTATCTCACAATTCTGACTTTTTTCTCAGAATTGTGAGATAAACTTACAATTGTGAGATAAACTTAATTGCGAGTTAGTCATTATTGCAAGATGTAAACTTTGAGATAAACAATATAAAGATAAAAGATATAAACAATTCTGAAAAATGAAGTCAGAATTGTGAGTTATAAACTTGCAATTGCGAGAAAAACAAAATCAGAATTGCTGGATTTAAACTCGCAATTGTAAGAAAAGTCAGAATTTCGACATTAACCTTGCAATTGCAAGAAAAAAAAGTAATCTTTTACAGTGGTGTGAAAAAGTGTTGGCCCCTTTCCTGATTTCTTATTTTTTTTTGCATGTTTGTCACACTTTAATGTTTCAGATCATCAAACAAATTTAAATATTAGTCAAAGATAACACAAGTAAACACAACATGCAGTTTTTAAATGAAGGTTTTTATTATTAAGGGAAAACAAAATCCAAAACTACATGGCCCTGTAGCACTTTTTCACACCACTGTATATCTCGCAATTGTGACTTTACTTCTCGCAATTGCAAGTTTATATCCTGCTATTCTTTATAATGTGCAAATTTGGGTTTAATATTACGCAACTGAGAAAAAAAAAAACTATTCCGACAAACTTGCAATTACAAGTTCCTATCTCACAATTCTGGGAAATAAAAAGTCTGAATTGCAAGATGTAAACTCACATTTGCAAGTGATATAAATTGTGAGATAAAAAGTCGCAATTACCTTTTTTTTATTTTTTATTCAGTGGCGGAAATGGCCTTCCATAAATATCACAAGTACTGATATCTGCTGCAGATAAATGATATTACACATGCAGGATTTAGGCAATACTCACTTTTCTGGCGTTTTGTCTACGGAGTGCTCTGGTGTGCGGAGGATGGAGGGACTGAGAGAGGTGCTGAAAGGGGAGGAGCTACGCAGTGAAGAGAAAGATAAGCCCTGTCTGCGCATTTCCTGTATATATGAGAGAGAGAAAGAGAGATCCAATGTTTTAGAACTTTGTTAAAAACAAATATGTAGTTTGCTCCCCTCTAAATGACTTGGTGAGGCTTGTTTGCCTCCATCCATTACCCAATGATCCCTCCTTCCTATCTCTCAGTGCTCTTTAGTGCATATCTGACCTTATCCCACACTTTCTACATTAAAGCCTATGTCAGTAGGGCTGACACTACCAATCATTTTGACAGCTAATCCATAAAACTTTTGTTTGATTAACCATTTCACAAAGCCAATTTTCCCGTTTTGTATTTTAACAAGTATTTTATTATTAAAAACCAAATATAAATGCATTATGCATGCTATACTATATGTGCAAAAAAGTAAAATATAAATACTACATTATATATTGCATATATAATGCATATATGTGACCCTGGACCACAAAACCAGTCATAAGGGTCAATTTTTCGAAATTGAGATTTATACATCTGAAACCTGAATAAATAAGCTCTCCATTGGTGTATGGTTGTTAGGATCGGACAATATTTGGTCGAGATACAACTATTTGAATATCTGGAATCTGAGGGTGCAAAAAAATCTAAATTACGCAACTGAGAAAAAAAAAAACTATTCCGACAAACTTGCAATTACAAGTTCCTATCTCACAATTCTGGGAAATAAAAAGTCTGAATTGCAAGATGTAAACTCACATTTGCAAGTGATATAAATTGTGAGATAAAAAGTCGCAATTACCTTTTTTTTATTTTTTATTCAGTGGCGGAAATGGCCTTCCATAAATATCACAAGTACTGATATCTGCTGCAGATAAATGATATTACACATGCAGGATTTAGGCAATACTCACTTTTCTGGCGTTTTGTCTACGGAGTGCTCTGGTGTGCGGAGGATGGAGGGACTGAGAGAGGTGCTGAAAGGGGAGGAGCTACGCAGTGAAGAGAAAGATAAGCCCTGTCTGCGCATTTCCTGCACAGCTCTCTCCCTACCACAGAAAAACACAGCCACACATCAACAAACATCTGACAAAACAACATACCAAGATCACAGCAGCCACATACTCAAAAGAAAATTCAAGATTTTTCAAGTTAACGTACTTACTAAAATAGTTGTGTGTAATTAAAAATGAATTCTTTTACCTAATATTTGCCTCATTCATTTATATTCTTATTAGAGTACTGTGCCCTTAACTTAGCAACATGCTAATCTCAAACACTTTTTTGTTTGGCTATATAGTTAATGTAGATGTAGAATATTTCAAATGGGTCACTTACAATACATTCAATGATGGTTAGGCAGCTCACTAGGTTTTGTAATAAAGCCAAGGTCTAACCTTTCAAAGCGCTCAGTGGTTAGCTGCCTCTTAAGGACGTCCATTTCTGTCTGTAGCTGAGACAGCTTTCCACGCAGCTGAGATACCTCTCTAGCATGACCAGCCCTACAAATAAACACATTTTGAGATCTTAGAAGAAAGGGCAAAAATATTGTTTTAACCAGTTTGTATTGCTTTTAAACTGTGCTGGAGTGGATTAAGACATCCTCATTTGATTGATGTCTGTTTGTTCCACATGCTGCTATCAGTGATCGCCATGGCAATTGCACACTTACACTAGTCAGCACTATTGAGAAACTGCTTGTTGTTGGAGGAAAGCAACATTGAATGGACTCTTTATGCACCCTTAAAGAGGACACAGTCCTCTGTGTTTGCCAGTGACAAATGCTTCACACAGTTCCCTGTGTAACAAGACTCCTAGGAAACAATAATAAATGTTACTTATACATACATACATATATATATATATACATATATATATATATATACATACATACATATGTATATATATATATACATATATATATAC